GTCGCGCTTATTCGTAGTCAGGAAATAATGCGCTAGATCGGAGATTAAAGGGACTCACATTTGCTGCCCGCAACGATGACAATTTCGAACGAAATTAAAGTGTAGCGCGAAGCCCTACAATACAAATTAGGCTGCTTGACGGGAAGTGTTCCACCCTAGTGAGTTGTGCCTGTGTATGCAGAAGCCTGCATCCCGGTGTGATTAAAATATCTTTGAATTAGACTGCACGATAATCAATATATGACAATTCTGTTCAAGTAATTTGTTAGAATCTAAAACCCATTTCCGAATTTCGGTTGGCATTTCATGAGATAAGCGATTTGTTGTTCGATTCAGATTGAATAGACATTGCATGGTCTTAAAAATCTATCTACAACCCTTGCTCCACCGACGGATACATTATTCGCTACCAAATGAGAGTACAAGAAAGAATACTTTGAACACATGTTTTAAGATAAAATACACCTTAATTTATATGGCAAGAGAAAGGCAATCGGAAAAAATTGTACTAATTTAGCATTTACTTTTTTATCGACTATTAATTCTAAAAGGCGGCCGGAAAGAAATTCATTCAACGACCGGCTTCCTGGCATGTGACTGAAATATTCTGGGATTATACTGTAGGATAACCAGCCTTACATCTCTACAATCACAAACAAATTTCATGAGATAGACAACCTGCTGTTAAATTGGTGGGTGAGGGTTCACACCGTGTGGTTAGGGAATTCACTCGTTGAAGATTAAAGCCTCGGGCGGTACAACATCTGGCTTTGGATATGGCTGGCTGATGGCGGCTAATAAGCCAAAAAATTACATTCCAGTCAACCTTGTAATGTTCTTTAATCTACTGTAAGTCCAGCTAGTGATTATAGATTACATGATAAGGCATGGTTAGGGCATTTGACTCTGATCCAAAAAGTCGCGCGTTCGAGACTCGCGTGGGACACCACTTGGGTCCGAGTATGACTGGCTGATGACTGCTAATAAGCCAGAAATGGTCATTCCAATCTCCATTGTCTTTGTCGGTAATATTATCTGCATAAGGCATACTGACAGCACAGATACTGGCTAAAAGCCCAGAGACTCGGAAATACGAACCTGTTTCGGCAAAGTGTGCAGCTCCTCCGTCGGTCAAGTCGTCCCTGTCCACAGATGTGAGAACGATGTAGCTCACATTCCACTGGCTGACT